CGGGTCGTATGCGGCGGCAGCAGCGCCCCTCGCTGCAGCTGCAGAGTACTGTGCATAGGCAGTTCCAGTGTAGTCGATATAGGGGGAGGAAGCAGTGACAGGTGCAGCAGCTGCAGGCTGCATGTGAGGGATGACCACACTAGGCTGCACAAAAGCCTGGGGGTACATGTAGTGGGCCGGGATGCTGTGGGGCAAACACACACATATGAAGGGTTAGTTTGCTTCGGGACCACACACCAAATCTGAGAATTAGACCCCCAAAACCCAACTTTAACACACTGCGGCCAAGCGCCCTCCCACCACCCAGCCCCAGTCCAATCCACCAGTCAAGAACACCAAGGAAATGCCTGCTAGTAGGGATTAGAACAATATAGGGTTGCCAAAATAGAAATCTCTATGTGAAAAGAAAATTGGAAGGTTTGCACAACCAGGGGCTACCTATTACCCTCTGGGTTACTGAAATATACTGACGAATCACACTTCCATGAACACAGTTAGAAAGAGTGGAGCCTGGTTGATGAAGTCATCTTCTTTATGGGCTAGAACATGGGAAACAGGCTCTGGCTTTACTGTTTTGGTCAGTTTTGACGTTATGTTTTGGAAACAGAACTATACAGAAGTTAGATAAAAAGAAAAAAAGACAGCGTTTGGGAGCTGTAACCTGCAGCTCATCACATGTAGATTTGGCTCTGATGCTGCTTACTGGAGAACGAGCAGGGTGGGGCGGGGGTGGTAGTGGTGTGCACAGTGCCGGAGGCTAGGGTGCGGACAGAGGAGAGATGAGCCCAGGGAAGCATTGTGAAAATGTCACTGCCACTTTGACAGCTGGACAGTTTTCAAAAAGCAATGCTGCTGGCCATTTCCCCCTCTGTGTCAGGACAAAGAGCCGAGGGTGGGGGGGGTGGCGTATGGACTAGGCCCTGCAACCAGAGGGATGTTTCGATTAAATAAACAATTGTGAACAATGAGCACATTCTGCCCTCCCTCACATAGCCTTACCCCACCCCACAGACTCTATAAGGTCTGGAAACTTAGTCAGACAGCAAGTATGAGGGGGGCTTTTGAAAATTAAATGACTGGCTAAGAGAAGGAAAATGCTAACTTTTGATTGGAAAGCATAAATAAATAAAACATTAGGCCTTGTGTAAATTTGAGTTTTTCATGTCATCAAAAACAGTCCTTTCTCCAGGTTAGAGACAGAAATAAAGTCAAATTCAATCTCACTTTAATTCATTTGGAGTGAGAAGCATCCTCCTTGACAGAGTTGGAGACAACTTGATATTTGTTGCACAAGCCTCCACCAAAAAGTTACATATGTTGCTGTAGGTGACTTAGAATGAAGATTACTCAAAAAGTTGTTGAGAGAAAATTATAGAAACCCAATCTAATCATCTTAGTCTGTATAAATGAACATTGGGTGGTCACTTTTGGAGTCTGGATCAGGAAAGAAGAGAGGAAAGTGCAGAACATGTTCAAGAGTGAAAGGCAGGGTCTATCGTGGCAACCCTATTGTCAGCACTTCATTACCCAACCCAGTCCACTTCTCAACTGAAAACAGCGGGTCCAGAAAAAACCAGGAAAAACAAAACAACAGCAAGGCGTCAGAGAGGAAACCACATGTAAAAATAATCCACCTGGACTAGACTGAAAACAACAAGGGCACAGCACGATCACACAATTGAAAAGCCAGAAAAGAAAAGAGAAGGTATAAACTGAGGAGAGATTTGTGGTGGCTTTGTGGATTTGTCGTCACTGTCAGGCGCCTAACCACACACACAAACTCACACACTGGTTAGAACATTTAATAACATATCCACAGCTAAAGGATTCAGTATTTCCAACATTTAAACTGGAAAATGCACAGAAACAGCATTTCCATCATCAAGTGACACCGAAACTCTCCTTTGAAACCTGTGCTAATGAAACTCAGCAGAGCAAGGCAGGTTTCCAGGGTGATTTTACCGGATACCATCTCTAAAACCAGATGAGTAAGCAACTCCTGTACACCGCGGCAGAGAGACTTTTCCAGTTTGCTATCTGAAATCATTTAATTATTCACTTCCAGCTAACAGGGAGCAAGCAGGGACACAGACTGGCCAACATCCAGGTCAGCATTAATCTGATTGGTTTATTGCCAGCATGTAAACACACAAGATGTACAAGTATCTCCAGCTCACACACTGATGAATAAGAGATCTCTCAGCAGCTGCATTATCTCACAAATGCCCAATATACTTGTTTGTTATATTAACTTGTCTTAAAAAAAAGCATTTCAGAAAAATGTGTATCTATTTATATGGCTATCTGATAATAATATGAGTTTTATGTTTATGCATCACTTTTAATATTTTCCTGAATATTCTGATTCTGCTAAATGATACAGTGGATCTACTGTGAACAGAATTACTTTGTTATCCACAAAGTTTATCAAACATTGGTATATGCTTCAATCTGTATTCAAGCTACCAACACACATATTGTATAAGAGGAGACAGTGGGAGTAAATTTTGACATTATGAATTTAGCTAGAAATAGGCCCAGGACGTTTCCTTTATAGCCTTTATGTAGAAAGTAGTTTGAGAGTGCTGCCAGTTGATTTGAAAACATGCTTTGTGGCATTTCAATCAGTCTAGTGGGAACTGTTGGTAAAAGACTTTAAAAGAAAGTCTAACATTCCTCCATACATTCAGTTGCACTTTTTTTTTTTTTTTTACTGTATATGACTAACTGCAGAGAGTGCAGCTCACACACTAATTATGGTTTGGCTGCCTAATAGAAAAAAAAAAAGACCTCCAGTGGCATGTACTCATTGCCACTGCTCATGGACTCAAACTCCCAGCTCCAACATTCTTGGTTGAACCTTTGTGTTCAAATAGTATTGTTCGCTAACACTCACTCACACACATACACAAAGCAAAAGCTGAGGTTTTGGTCATAGGAAGAAAAGCTCTGGCTACAAAATAGTTGTTATCTGAAGACAGTCATAAAATAAGAACATCAAAACTATCACAATAACTTTGAGGCTGTCTTTTGGAGCCATGCTGATACATATGTGCATGTTCGTGTCTGTGTGTGGCTTTACAGACATGTTGTGTTCATGCAAAGCAGCTATTATTAAAGATCAGGGCTAAATAAAGGTTCTGTTCCATCATGTTTACCTTCTGCTGAGGTGACTGGATCTAATGTGTTTGTGCTCAGTGCTCATGTAGTCCACACCTGTCTTGCTGTGATATAGTTGTTCATGAAACCTTTGTTGTCACATCAGGACCTGAGTCATGATCCGCACATAGAAAATGACTTGGATCCAGTTAGTTTATGTGGATCCTTTATTAAATCGCTGAGTATAAAAGTTTATTAGTGACAAAACTACAGAGCAAGTACAATTTCAAGCAGTAGTCAGTGGTCTCTTCTTGGGTGAGGCTGAAAAACCTATGCTTACCCTACTCTGCTTTTACATGACAGAGAAATACAGCTCCCTCACCCTCAACAGCCCCCCCCAAACACATAACACAACACAGAGCTTCATGCAACTGCAGCATCAGCATTCGTGGCTTTGTGTGGCACAATGGGCGCGCTTGTTTTCCTTAACACCACGAGCCCATGTGAAAGCTCACTGTGAGAGAATACGAGAGAGACACCCAGACGTTTATTTGTGTCACATGGGAGGCTTTGGTGCGCTGAACTGAGCTGCAAATGAGCATGCATGTGCACAAACAAAGCCACACAAACACAGTAAAAGCACATATGTACAAATGCAACATGTCACATACATAAAAAAGGCACATACAGCTCAGATAATAACTGACAGGCCTGTCATTCATTCGTAAGACATCCATTCCCATATTTATGATGGTGCTATTTGTCCATAAACACAGAGAAGTGCAAAAAGAAAAAGAGAGCAGCTGTATTGAGTTGACAGAGCAAAGCAGAGTGAATGTGTGTGTTAAAGTAAGAAACTGGAAGATGCTCTGAGTACACGCAAGCAGCGATGGGGTTTGTTATTCTGAGAAGGGTAAAGGTGAGAATGTGAAGGGAAGGAAGGAAGAGGTGACTAGAAAAGAAAAGAAACGCCACACAGGAAAGTCACCACTCACTTCAACAAGACAATGAAAACATATGAAACAATAAACCCTGTTAAAACAAAACAGGTCACCCACAAGCTAAAAACAATTTAAAAAAAATTAACAAAAAAGACTTTGCTCTTTCTTGGCAAAGTTAATACGCGTCCACAAAAAAAAAAAGAAAAAAAAGCAAAGAACACCCAAAAATTCAGTCAATCCAGCTTTTTGGTCACAAAAGAAAGCACACGCTTTAGCTAACAACACCACTTCATAACTGCACACATAGCTCTAAGATCTATTTTTAAAAAAGTCAAACGCCACATGAAATCGATGTACATGCATCTATAATCACCATTTTGAGAGCTTGTTTGTGTGTGCTTGAGTCTACAGGTAATTCCTTTCTCTGATCTGTGATTATGTTGACAGAACTATTCCACAAACCAGCACAGTTAGCTTAACCGAGAGTGAGCCTGTCGGACCAGAGAAAGATAGATAACATTGAGTCAAGCTGAAAGTTTCATTAGTGTCCACTCAGCACACACACGCACACACACATGACTATACATTTTCACAGTTTTACTAGGTTTTTGGTGATCAGCGATACAGAAACACACTGCTTGTTGTCAACCATTAATATTTGGAGATAAAACAGGAGTAAAGACAAAAACTTATAGTATAAATAATCATGTTAAATTGAGAAGAAATGAAGCCAAAACAAGTTTAAATTATTTACCTTCAGCTTTTGTGTCTACATAGGCAATGATCATCTCAGCAGTCTGCTGAACAATATGTAGATTGATAAGTACTTACCCATAAGGCCTTTGGATGAACGCAGGGTGAATCTGAGGAACACCAAAGGTAAAACCTGCAAAACAGAGGATGTAAAAGAAAGGTGTCAGTTCCAAAAACAGTAAAACAGTCACTGAAATATTCAGTAAACAGTCCTTCTCTGCACTGAGAATTTATAACCTCCTAAACATGTATCACCAGACGCTACCTGAGAAACAAATGAACCCTCAGGTGAAAATCAGGAAGGACTGACTGGCTGATAAAGCTGCATACATGCTGAACCCAAACAAACATTGCAGGGACAAAGTTGCTTCCTGTGTTGATGCGGATATTGAAGTAAAACACCTTTTGAAATCAACAGAAGTGACAAACATGCCTAATGTAAGTCTGACTGAAAACTAGACCTTGTTTGAATTTGGGTGAGTGGTATTTGGCTGGCTTTACCTGGCTGCATCACTCGAGGCTTGGCCCCCAGGTAGGCCAGATTGACATTAGCCTTTCTGCCATCAATGATGGGGTTGGGGTCCTTACAGGCCCGATCTGCAGCTGAGCGGTCCGCCATCGTCACCTGAGAGAGAAGGTGACACGCACAGGATGGAAATGTTTTAAATTACTGAGGCAGGTGCTGATTTTTTTATAGCACGAATACTGATAATGTCTCTTAAAGCGATGAGAAAAACAGAAAGCATTTTTTAGCCTGGGTTCAACTGCTGCATGTTCGTCTTCTTCCCTCTGTCAGAGTGGCCATCGTTAACAGCAGCAAGTATTTGGCAGGATGCATGCATCCATCAGCCTCATGTGGATGTGTTGAAACTATCAGGAGTGAATGAGAGCCTGGCTGAGATGACTGACTGAACGCAGATCCAGTATCACTCCCATTGCAGCAACCAAACATTATTTCTCTGCTTAGAGCTTCACTACTCTCCATTCTATTTACACACTTATGCAGCTTAGGTCATTAAACACAACCAAAGGCATTCACTGGGGGAATGAAGAAGAAAGTTAATGTAGCTGTAACATTTTGTTTAAGTTGAAGCTGTGGAAAATCCAGTCAACAGAAGAATATTAGTTCCACTGTACAGATATCTGTGCCTATCAGGGGTGGTTATAACTTTTTACTGAAGAGGCCAAATGTGAGCCAGCTCCATTTGTCCAGTTCTGCTACGTTCACATTTTGTCCATCAGGCGTACATAAATGTAAAAATGAATTAAAGAGCCACTGGAAAGGGATATGGTGCTGACTGAGTAGCACCAGTTGCTTTACGACCCCCTGCCTCTGAATTGCTTTTTGACAAGTGGGAGCAAAATATGTTTCCAGCCTTGTAAACAGCTTTTAGATGATGAAACCAGTGTAGCCATTTCAGACATCCGCTCTGCAATATCAAGACATCATCAGGAGTTTTTTTCTCAGCCCACCACAGCTGTCAGCTCAGTAAATGTGTCAGGGCGCATACCAGCATGGAGCAAGTTGACGGGTGCAAGATTGCAACAGAAGCCAGTGACAGATTTAAGCATTGCTTATCAAAACATGAACAACCCATGACTGCAGGTTTATTAATGTTAGTCATGCTGTTGTGAAAGACAGTAACAGCGAGCACACTAACAGACACAGACCTGCGATGGCAGAAAGTTTACGTGCGTAAAATGTTTTGGAGATATACTTTGTGTAAACGGGCCCAATATGTTATTATCAAATGATACTTACAAATCCATAACCCCTAGACTTGCCGGTTTGTCTGTCAGTAATGACCACAGCTTCTTCAATCTCACCAAACACCTCAAAATATTTCCTGAGACTTGAATCCGTGGTGTGGTAGGGGAGACCCCCAACAAAAATCTTCGTATAGGTCGTGTCCTTTTGCGTAGTGTGCATCGTTAGTGCAAAATACAATAAATAGGAACAATAAAAAAAGAATAGCGCAGTGTCTCCTTATCAGCGTTTTGGATGAAGATACAGAAAAGAGAAAGAGCAGCTGACTCTGTAACTTTTTCAGAAGAGAAAACTAAACCCAAACTCGACAAAAATGACCTCTGGAGGCAGATTTATCTTCCGACAGTAAGTAGGGGAGTTACATGGAGCGGACTGTCCCAAAAAGACCACGAGGCTTTTCCAACTCCTCTCGATAACTGCGCTGTCTAACTAAATAGGCTTGGGACCCATTCCTAAAAGCGTTGCTCCTAACTCCACCCAGCTTTTAGTCCATCTCTGCCCGCCCACCAGCGCGCACAAACAGCTGGGAAGCCCGCACAGTGCGAAATATTGGAGGTCCTTCACAAAAAGGTTCCGGTTTGTCATGACTAGGATCGCGGTAAATTAATAATCAGGGACCGACAAAATCTGATTACACCGAAGTTGGGCACAAAGAGGGGCAGTGGCTTTCAGAAAATCCAGGGTGGTTCATGTGAAAAATAACCAAACATATAGTGGATATTTGTATGATTTTTTACTGTCTGTTCATTTTGGTCTTTTCTCACTTTGCTGTTTTAAAACAGACCAGGATTCAGCAGTGCAAAGAGGTCCATCCTGGCCAGCATGGATTAGGCCTCCTAATCAGGGACACATCCCAGCTGCAGCAGTGAACAACCAGAGATGCAGCTTTGGCGCTCTTCTGGAAAAACTGGCCTTCACAACTTGTGGGGGATTCAGAGAGCTTTGGCACGTTTCTTCGTCCACTGTTTCAGCAAAAAATATACAGTCGCTGTAATTTGAGAGTATGTGGACTCTAATTGAATTTATTTTTCTGTTTTTAAAGGTACCTTCGAGGTCTTAAGATCACGGGCCCAACTGTTATGACTGACCCACAAGTTTCAAAAAACGTATCAGACAACTTATAACAAACGTTCAACAAGTGTGGCTCCATTTTACACCACTGCTTCTAAAGTCATTGATATTAAAAGGCTTTGCCGAATCGACCCTTATTCTTAATTTTGAAAAGATAACGGTCATGTTTCACTAATTAAATCAGGCGTGAAGAGCTAAGCTCAAAAGTGATCACTGCACCTCACGTCATAAAATTACGCACAGCTCTTTTGATGGGTAAGGGAAAAAACAAACCAGTCAGAGATCAATTCATTCAAGAGTCTCTGCACATGAAGGTGATTAAAACAAGGCGTGAAGCGTGGGCTGACAGATCTCCTATTTGAACAGCCAAGATGAGTCACTCACCTCTAGTAATGTGAGAGGGACCTCTGCTGTTAATCATTCATGGCGGCTGCGCTTCTGTGAGCGCTTTGTGTCTGCGGAGTATACATTGTAACTGCATGTAACACAGTGAGCTCTGCAGCGGGAACATGATTGTATTTCATTTAACATGCTCTGCCATTACTGTTAAGTCAATTAGCTGTGCATTATGATGTTTTATGACGACCAATATGTTTGAGATGCAGGTCACCAGAGGTACTACAGCCCACAGTTCTAACTTGTCCTCGGGTGTGTTATTCCACAATGTTAAGAGTGTTTTGTATGATCCAATATGTCTTTTGTAGGCTATTAAAACTACAATTGAAATCTGTATTTTTAAAGATATGACAACAGCGCTTATATTAACTCTCATGTATCTGAGTGTGAATTGCTTCTGCAGAGCTCCAGATCACAATGAAATGCAACCTGATAGAGCATCTTTCTGTGGTGTATCTGTTCACTCACTGTTTTATTAATGCAGCCACATGCCCTTTAAAATCCGAATGGAGTCCTGAAAAGGGGGACCAGTATCAGGTTCCTGTGGCTTAACAATAGGGATCTGGTCAGGTTGCATCCCCCTGTTGTATCTGTTCATGTGACTAGTTTGAATCCTCCTATAGTTTTACAGTAATCAGCTGTGGTCTAATTTAAAGCTTTAATTATACTTTCTATCCAATTTTCATTTTAGAAATACTCAAAACGAAAGCTCCACATCACATGTACAGTGAATATGTGTCAGTAATCACAGAATGTGGGTCCAGTACTGACTGTTTGTAAATTCATTCACAAATTTTTCATAACATACAAATGGAAAGTTTTTTCAGCTTAATCGAGACAAAGGCCGGACAGCTGAAACTGACACTATGTGTGTAGCACACAGCTGCAGGCAGAGAAAAAGGTCAAGGATCACTAGAACAGCTGAATACCCAAAGTATAGTCACACCAACATCTTAAAAAAATCTCCTAAAAATTCAAACTTAGTTAAGTTAGAAAGTTAAAGTGCATGCAGTTAAATTCATTTAGTTTAAAAACTCTGGATTCTGGCAAATTGCTGAACACACACAGATGAAATGGGAACTTTGTTGATGAACAGCAACTTCAGATTTCACATCTTTCCTCATATTGCCAAACCCTCCTCTGTACAGATGAGGTGGACTGACTTTGTGGTGTTGAGACACAACTTTAACTCACTGAAACAGCGCCATCTTCAGTCCAACAGAACAACTGCCTAAAGTACCCGGATCACATGCAATATTAGACAACATTCAAAAAACCCAAGTGTAACACAAAAATTAATTGGTTATATAGGCAAGAACATTAAGTCTTGGTCATCTTTATTAAATCAATCACTGAGGTAAATTATGCTGCATTTGAGAGAAAGCCCTCATGTTCATTTGTGTTTACTACTGAGCTACATTATCCTCTGATAAAGAGCATTTATCGGCTGCACTTCCCTGGAGTGGAAATAATGTCTCTGTGGTGAGAACACAAACGACTCACCTGCACATCAGCTGTGCATAAATACATCTGTCAATTTCTCTCCAAACAGTATTACCATTACATTTACTATATGCATGTATGTATTTTACAAGTTTCAATATGCCTCTCCTCTGTGCAAAAGATACTATTTTGGCGCTCTCCATCTCTCTCTTAGTACCGATTAATGGCTCATCCGTGGGCTAATTTAAAATTTCTCCTCTTTGTCTTCTGCATGTTGAAAGGTAGAGTCACTCTCCAGCTCCCACAAGGCTTTGAGGAGCTGGCTCGACTGGAGCTCCTCCAGTTGGTTCAACTCCTCCTCTTCCTCATCACCTTTCTCACACACCCTCTTGGCACCTTCGCCTCTGGTAGCTCCACTTGCTCCTACCTTCTCTCTCCCTTCTGTCTTCTCTGCACTGCCCATTTCTTTTCTAGACTCTTTTTGGTCACCTCGAGCTTCTTTAACACACTCTCCTCCCTCGGCCTCTTTACATGCAGTTTGGCTGTGAAGCGGTGGATGTAGGATGTCGAGGCTAACAGAGGACTGCAGTGGTCCCACTGGGCTGATGGGTGAGTTTTCGTCGTTGTCTGTTCTGGAGATGGGGGCACGGACACGAACACGTGCTGATTTGGTCCTTAAGCGTGCCTTGAGCTCGTTCTCCTTTAACTGAGAGAGGGTGGAAGGAACAGAAGTGTGTAGGAGAGAAAAAAAAAACTAAGATAAATTGTGAGAAGGCAATAGTGAGGAAGGAGCTGATACACACACACACACACACACTGTACCTTGCGCCGCTCTTCAGCCAGCTTCATCTTTTCCTCAATGTCTTCTATGCTGGGGAGAGCTTGTGCCTGCTTGGCCTTCAGGGACTCCAGTCTGGCAGGTCGTTGCCTGACCACCTCCATGTCATTCAGCTGATACACACACACAGCAGGGGGAGACAAATAACATAAACTTGACATTAGAGGTCAGTGAACTTAGATTGAAACTTACTGACCTCACCAATCCTACCTGTGAGAGACAATTAATCAAGAGTGTTCTGCAACAGATTTCATTACTCTGTTATAAATGTTATTCTGGGACGTTAGTGTTGTGGAGTGAAACAATTTTGATACAGGCAGCAAGGCGGAGACCAGAGGTTGTCACTGTCCTTCTAATCCACGCTGGCTTTTTGAAATATACTGTACATACAAAAGAAAACTTAGCGCACAGGCATATCTTTATTTTATTAAGCTTTTAAGAGCATAAAATATCACAATATTTAAATAATCAAAATTAAAGTAAATTTCTAGTCTCACATCACAGTACTGATATTGTGTCCTCCAGTTTAACACAGCCAAAATTCCATCTGTAGATAGTAGGCTTGTTAGTCTGTTCCAGCCTTGACCTCTGTGAACCAGGTACCCACCATGAGGCTATAGGCCTCCCAGGCCCTGCTACTCCTCTCTATGGTCTGCCCTTCTGGGATGATGCCCTGGTTCAACAGCTCCTCCAGGATGTCACTGGACTTCTGGCGCTCCTGTGCTGCCCTTTCCTGCTGCAGCAATCCCGAGCTGGCTGCACAGAGACACAAACACAATAACAACACTCCGGATGTGTGCACTGGATTTTCTCCACCAACTGGCTGGTGTAATTTTTTTGTCTGACTCACTCTTTAGGACACTGGCAGATGTTAGAGGAGGAAGTTTTCTGGGCACTATTCCAGGTAACAGGGGGACCTCCTTGCTTTCCATCACCACCCCACTGTCGGCGGTGCCCTTTGACACAGCCGAGCCTCCACAACCACCAAGTTTATTTCTTGTGTCATCCTGGCAACACAGAGACACATTATGATTGCAGAACCCCGCCACCTCACCCCTGGGACAATAGCCGTACATCCTGACTTTGCTATGTATGGTATCCCAGACGTGAAGTTGTCATGGTGGCATCTGTGTCTTAACACACTGTCGCAAACACAGTAGCTCAGGAACAATACTAATACACAGCAGGTACACTATTATTTTAATTGTATCCTGGTGATTACGGCATGGTGTTAGACATCCTGTAAAACATCATTTATCACCATATATATTCTAATATGATGCATTGCTGTAGAGTATATCAATTTAAATCAGCTCAGCTTTGATCAGCCACATGTCAATAGATGAATACAGTTCCCGTAATATAAACAAGTTATTATTAATATAACACTGTGAAATGAACCTGTTTTGGGCTGGGGGATGCAAGAGAAATTGATAAAAACAAACAAACAAAAAAAACCCATTCCTGAATTTTCATCTTTTTTCACCTAAAATAAAAATAGCCTATATCTATTACGTCATTATTATTAATTAATAGAACAAAGACTAGGAAATATAAAAAGGGCTCAGCTTTCTGTCTGTACTATTAACATTAATGTTAATTTCTAAGCACTTGTTGTAAATAAAATGGGCTTTTTACTTGTAAAGATACTTTTGCTTTTCATTGGTAAAGATTAGTTTAACCGGATATTTGATCAGCTGAGGCACTAAACTGAATGGCACACAGATTTGTACATTACCTCGGTAAATGTGCTAACCCCTAGCTATCGGTAGCTTAAGCGCTGCACAGTCTGGGACACCACTGTGGAAACTACACCTGGTTTAAAGTCCACTCCTCGGGTTTAACTAAGAATGGCGGGTTGGGTGACTCGGACCTACCTCGTCTCCATTCACCTCGTCGGGGGTAAACGTTTGGACCACGGTGGTTGAGGAGCTGGCGCATCCCATATCTATCCCAAAGCAACTACGTGAAACAAATTTAGTTAGCTGCACATCTGAACCGTGTGGTCTGGCATTCCTTCACACGGACGGACGGACAGTCTCCATAGACCCGGTGCGTTGCTACGGACAGTTGCTACAATAAACGTGACCCGGTCAAAGAGGTGACACCCAGAAACAACACGCTACAAAACAGCAGTGTTCCGACGAACTGTTACCTTGTAGCAGTCTATTGATTCATTAACCCCAACCCCATCTACTTTGTAGATAACAAATGATGACACAACACGCCCCCACGCTCTTACCAGGGCACCAAAGTGAAATTTAGAAATACTCATGGGTGGATTAATAAATGAGCACAGGGTCAGTGGTGGAAAATAACTAAGTACATTTACTCACATATTTTAAGTACAATTTAGAGGTATTTGTACTTTGAGCATTTTCATTTTGTGCTACTTCACTACATTTTGGAGGCAAATATTAGACATCCATTTACATTGACTTTGATTTTTTTTTTTTACCTTTAGCTAGCTATTAACGCTTTTCCTATCTGCATGTGTGGTTTTTCAATGAGCCAAGTGAAGACATGTAAGAAATACTGAATTAAAGCTCAACTGTGCTTAGTTCAAGTAACAGAAGCAAGTGTTTTCAGACCAGTTTCAGAATGTGTGCTCACTGTGACAGTCTGAAATCAGGACAAGCATCATATAAAAAAAGAACATAGAATCCCAGTGCATTCTCTATGTATTTAGATGTAAATGTGTCTTTCATGAGGCATTAAAACCCCCACCCTGTATTAAATAACCAAAAGCTCAATTGATCATAGATTGCCTGATGTAATTCCTTACTTTGAATTTAAAGGATATGCTGATACCAATGTACAATATGTGTGAGAAGCTAATAAATTAATAATTAAACCACAATGCATTCTGTAAGAAAACAGAAAACATGAATGCTTTTTATGGTTTTATTGATGTAATTACCCATGGTTTTAAAGTTTCTCACTCGTCCAGTAATAGTCATGGCTTTAAAATTAAACTGACTTCCTTTTCATCCAAAGTCACCCTCATCCATTTAAACACGCAATAGAAAAATATATACTCAATACTTTGTACAATACTGGTTTTGGTCCAAACAAAAGTGGATCAGAAAAGCCAATATACCTTTAGTCAAAGGCTCTCCAATTTGCATTTAAGTTCCTTTTAAATGGATTTGGGCAACTTTGAATACAGGAATTTACATAATAAATTCTAAAGACAAAAATGCTGAATGCAGAGTTGGTAGCACAAAAATTTAACTTCACAGATAAAAAAAAGAAAAAATTCACTATTTACAGGTTTTTATAATAATATTCAAAGGCCAATTAAGAGAGAGATTAAGAGGAAGAGGCAGAGAGAGGTAAAGGGAGAGCTTAAAGAGTCAAGAGGAGGGAGAGAGAGAGCGCAAAAGACAAGAGGGCACGAAAAGCAGAGTAGTGGAGGTCAAATAACTAAACATGGAACAGTTTAGAAACTATGCATTTACAAAGTCCTAAGGAGTTGAACGAGGGCGCAGTGCCTGGATACGTTTTCCCCTCTCCCAAAACCCGCCCTCCGTTCTTCCTCATTTTTGTGTTTAACATTCATTTGCTTCCTCACCTGTGGCAGTGCTAGCTAGCGGGGCTAGTTAGCAGCCCAGGTGGTAACTCCGTCGTTCAGTTTTCATACACACACACCGACACAATCTCAGCATGTACAAAGAAACCAAACACACCTCAGGTCTGTACATAAGAGGGAGAAAAAAATACAAGCACACTGCACTCACCACTGAGATTACACACTCATCCCTGTACATACAGCACACTGCACTGACACCATGGCTGCACCTCCAACAGCACCTTGATTCCTGTGAAGGAACAGTCTAAATAGTTTGCAGGATTACCACTGGAGATTTGCCACACAGCTCGCACTACCTCTCTGCATATCACAGCTCATAACCTGATCACCCATACTAATTAATAGGATTCTGTGTTCACTCGCAACTCTTCAGATTTACAGTTTTTGCCTTTGCAATTTTATTACAAAAAGTCATGCTTAAAGTCTAGCTGACATTTGCCGGTGTTCAAAATATAGATATGACTGCGTTGCTTGTTTATCATGTCGAGCAGGGGGTCCTTGCTTGATTGTTGTTTTCTAAGTCAGTGTCACAGGTCAGTCACTTTTTTTCATGTGGGATGGTCTCACATATTGACAGATCTGGTTTACATGTGAATTATCAGCTCAGCCTACATCACACGCCACAAAGTCATTTTGGTGTTTGTCCAGTTGAGACCGTCCAGGACTTTTAGTTTTCAGTGGGGATATAGTCAAGTCAAAGTCAAGTCCACTGGGCTCTACTTTCTGCGTCGCACTGCTGTCTTGATCTTACGCCCAGCGATCGCTTGCTGTCCAGCAGGAGAAGCGGGGAAGGATTTAGCTGATCTGGAAAAGCAAATGACATCCCACCATTAGCAGCATCACAAAAAAACAGAGGTGAAAATGACTTATTCTTCAGAGCATTTTTTTTTAAGTCAAAACACAACTAAAAATATTCTGATATGCAGCAGTACATATCTGTTGTTTAAGTGTTCAATGCCAGTGGGTGGAATTCCACAATGTCCTTATCGTGACTCAGCCTGAAGACAGGGAACATGTATGTGTTTTGCTGTGCATATACTAACAAAGCGCATGTAGACTGAAGAGGGGCAACATACCCGATATTGAATGTGGGGGGCTGTGGGAAGTTGAATCCGCCTCCAGGTGCTCCTGACTGAGGTGCAATTAAGGGGTTGGCTGAGGGGGCAGGAGACGCTGCTGATCCTACTCCAAAAGTGAACACACCTGAGGTATTATTTGTGGCTCCAAACGCACTGGCTCCTCCAAACTGAAAGCCTCCACCTGACAAACATAACACATTTTCATTTTTAAACTCATTTAGATTTTCACACATCTGGGATAGATATGACTTCATATTATGAGCATTATTAGCACATCTTACTACAGACAAGAAAAATAATTAGTCGCTCACCTGGTGCAGAATTAGCAGCTACCCCAAATACAGCTGTGGAGTCGGCCTGTTGTCCAAAGACAGGGGTGGCATTGGGTTTGACTCCAAAGGCTGGGGTCTGGGAGGGGGCGGCTGTGAAGGGGGATCCAAAGGATGAGCCAAATGAAGGAGTCTGGTTGGCCCCAAACCCACCAGATGGGGCTGAGCTGAACACAAATGGAGCGGGAGCTGCAGATGGGGCTGTCAGTAAAAAAAAAAAGAAAAGAAAGAAAGAGAAAGGATGAAAACTATTAAAACATATACTGCTAATAGTTTGTGGCTATTACTCAAAATGGATATAAATACTCATCATCTCCAATATCCAACCAGAACAAATACAGACCTGAAGATGAGGCAGCAGAGGGTGCTGCTGCTCCAAATCCAAAAGAAGCAGCAGCAGGAGGAGCAGCATTGGCAGGATCACCAAAGATGAAAGGCTGAGCTGGAGCTGGGGCTGGAGTCGAGTTCAGAGGAGCAGCTGAAGGGGCAGGCGGCTGGCTGTCCTGACTCTGGCCAAACATAAAGGCTTTAGCAGGAGAAGCGTCACTGGAGGTTGCAGCAGGCTGACCAAACATGAAGGTGCTGGAAGCTGCAGAAGGAACTGAAGCCTGGGTGGAGCTGCTGCCACCGGTACCAAACAGACTTGGGGTGGAGGACGACAAGGTGGTGGAGGTTGTGGTGTTGGTGGGATTGCTAGCCATAAAGGAAAAGGCTGGTTTTGGAGCAGCAGCAGAATCTGTCAGGGAGAAGAAAGTGTTTCTTATGCTTCATAATCCACTGAAGTGGAAAAACTGTACTGAAATACAGAAAACGTTTAACTAACCAAGTCTTATTTTTGGCTTTTTAGTGAGTAGGTTTAGCTTTTTCAACTTTGATAACCATATTTGTTGTACTTGTATATAGATACATTTCAATAGTAATAACAAAAAAGCAAACTTTCCCACCAAATTATTTACCCATTCCTTTAACAAATTACCAAAGAGATCAATATTTAAACTAATCATGGCAGTTATCATATGAGACATTTTCTAAAAGATTCACAAATTAAATACCTGTAGCATTTTGTCCAAAAGTGAAGGAGGGCTTTGGAGCCTCTGCAGCAGATGTGTCGTTCTTGTCTGCTTGTTTGCCAAAGGTGAATGTGGGTGGAGGTTGCTCTGTTGAAGCACTGGGCTTGCTGAAGGAAAAAGCTCCTGAAGTGGCCAGTGTTGGTGCAGCATTTGTATCTTTACTAGCGGTACCGAAGAGGAAGGTAGATGGAGCTGAAGAGGCAGCAGCTTCCTTCTTTTCATCGGGCTTCCCGAAGGTAAACGTAGGAGCCGCTGGTGCTTTGTATGGCTGTAAGGACCCAAAAGTAGTGCCGCCTTGAGGTGTGGTGGTGGCCAAAGTTGCCTCACCCATTTGCCCAAAAATAGATCCAGTGGTGGTGGTAGTTGCATTGGTATTTGTTGATGTGGTGTTATTTGATGATGTTGCACTGTCACTCTTTTCTTGAGATGAAGCAGGAGAATTGAAACTAACAGAGGATGAGGAGGGGGTGGTGGTGGTGGTGGTGGTGGTATCTGATATTTTCTCTTCAGGTTTTGCCAGTCCAAAGGTGAAGCCACCCTTAGCGGAGCTTTCTGTGCTAGAGGATCCAGTTCCAAAGACTATCCCACTGCTGGCTACAAACTTTAACCCAGAACCTGTGGCAGGTGGGTCTGACTTTTTGTCATCACTAGAGGCAGACCCAAATTTAAAGCTCTCTGCTGAGCTGCCGAATTTAAACCCTGATGTGGTAGTAGTGTCTTTAGAAGTGGTTTCTGATGAGGAGCTTCTACATGGGACTCCAAATTTGAACCCACCTGATGATGAAGAAGAGGATGGCTCTGAAAATGAGTCCCCAAACTTGAAACCTCCAGATGCAAAACCCACAGTACTGTCTGATGTGCCAAACTTAAAACCTCCAGAACTCGAAGCAGAAGAGATGAATGTAGAGGAGCCTGAATTCCCACCAGCTAATGTACAAAAAGCTTAAGAGAAACAACAGGTAACAAGATTAAAAGGTGAAAAGTGTAGATCAAGTGCAGGTTATATTTCAGAAGTCTTAGGTTTATCAAAACCTAATATTTTGATGTGATTTGATATGGTTGTCGTGACAGTTTTACATGATACATAAAAACAGATACAGCAATACATTGTCTATGTGCCATATATATTACGCCGCCTTAAAGAGCGACTACAACCCTAAAAATGCCTCAGTTGAACTGCACACTTCTGCCATTGCTGTGACAAGGACCTTTTTAAAATATCAACAAAAACCTTTAAGCCATTTGCCATTAACATGCTACTACAAAAACCTAACAGAGGGTCACTTTTGTTACCTTTGGGCTCCACTTTAGCTCCAGGTTTGGCTGCCTTGCAAGCAATACACTGTATATCAGCAGCCTTGTTCTGTACAAGACAGACGTCACAGTCCCAGGCCCCCTCTGGCTTCTTGAACTTGTCTCCCAACCCAAACACTGGAGCAGTGCTGGCTGAAGAAGAGGATCCTGATGAAGCTCCAGCTGTGTTAATGAGGAAAGGAAGATGTTTCACTGAACTAAAAAAGGCTCCTAAAACACCCTTTAGTCAGTAACAGACTTACACGATTATGAAAAAGCATTCAGCATTTTTCAGAATATCAAAAATAAATATAATCATGTTTTTATTACCTGGTTTAGCACCTGTGCAGGCCGCACACTTTGTGTCCTCTGCCTTATTTTGCACCCAACAAGTATCACATTCCCATGCACCCTCAGGTTTCTTGAACTTGTCTCCAAATCCAATGAACTCTGTAGAAACAGGGGCTGTGGGGGCAGGTACAGTCTTACCAGCTGAGAAGGCAGAGGGAAGCGTAAGTGAGGGCTTAAGTCCCATCCCAGGTTTGGCTGTTTCACAGGCAACACACTTTACTGCATCAGGTTTGTTCAGAACAAGACATGTATCACAGTCCCAGGTTCCTGCAGGTTTGGTAAACATTGTACCAAAACCTGTGGTGGTTGTAGTGGTGGAGGTGGTAGTTGTGCTGCTGCTCTCCAGCACAACCGAGCTTGCAGGTGAAGGTTTACTATCTGCAGATTTGGATGGGGTGGAGTTGGGCTGCGGGGCCTTACAGCAAACATACTTTGTGTCTGATGGCTTGTTCTGCACCAAACAGACATCACGGCTCCAGCCCGGTGGAGCTTTGAACAATTCACCCAACCCTGATGAAGAAGGGGGGGAGGAGGTGGTTGTGGAGGGGGAGGTGGACTGTGTAGAGATCTCCTGGGGAGCAATGTCAGGGCCTGGGGAAGTCCGAGTAACAGGAGAGGCAAATCCTAGAGAGAGGAAAAAATGAGTAGGATTAAAATAATGAACTTCTGAAGTGAATCTTGTAAAAATGTATAATGAAGAACAGAGAACAGCTGCAGATAATGTGTTAGTGATTCTAACCAGGCGCTTTGAGAAGATCCAGCACACTTCCCTGCTTCAGGACCTTGGCTGGTTTCAAGGGTCCTTCCAAATCTTCTGTGCTTTTGCTGGCTGCTGGTTTCACTGTTGAAAACATGTAAACACAAAGGACTAAAATAAATTCTACATTTTCTCAGTTAAGGCAAAAAAATCAGAGTCAGGCCAACTGTAAGAAAACTGTTACCTGCTGCCGGTATGGGAGTGGCCAGCTTCCCATTTGACATAGAGGGACCTAATTTAGCTACAGGTGCACTAAACGTAAATCCATCCTGCAAGTAAGAAAAGCAAATAACCTTACTATCAGTGACACAGTTTGAAGGCACTGCTATATAAGCAAATATAAACATAATGATGTAGATAAACCATATACTTACGGAAGGTGAAAAGGAAGGTGGGCTAGCAGCAGTTGCTTTGACAATAGGGGAAGAAAATGTAAAAGGTACACAAGGAGGTGTTGAGGCCATTGAAGGCTCCTGGGGGCGAAGGACACCAAATTAGAAAAAAGTTCCAAACTATTAGATTTGTAGTAACACTGTAGTAGGATTCCAACTTTGAGCTCAGACCTTATTGGTGACCGTTTCCTTAGCAGGAGTAACGGCCGTGACATTGGGGGCAGTGCTGATGGTAGTGGAGGTGGTGAGAGGTGGAGGAGGGGAGGAGAAGCTGAAGTTGGGCAAAGCAGCGGTGCTGATAGGAAGTGAAATGGTAGGAAGGTCTGGTACCTCAACCACCTAAAGTCAAAGAACACATGCATCATTAGGTGGTCCCATTTTTGAAACTGCAACCAATCTTTATGCATCCACACACTAGGAATGGTTTCACAATGGCAGTTCTATTTTGGATCCAGTTCCAAGTTGTTAAAATACTGTGCTTCATGAAGCTTCAGGCCAAACAAATCCCTCACCAAACCTGTGATGGGTAGGAGAGAAACTCAAATATGGAGAACCGACACTGAATTCAACAAAACAGCAGCAAAATGTGATGTTTGCAGGGTGGTATTTCGGGGGTCAGGCTAAAAATAAGTCTGACACACCTGTTTCTTATCACTTTCACACAAATGCTGTTTGGTTTGTATCAGTACTGAATAAATCCAATCTAGAGTTAGGGTGTACACTGATCATAACTATTGTTACAATTAAAGTTTTTTGAATACAAAACCCTGTGGGTTTCTGGATGCAATGCTCTCACCTCATCCTCTTCAGAGCGTTTGGAGGAGGGTCGTGCACTGGTCCTCTCTCTCTTCATCTTGCCCCCTCCAGTGTTGATGCTGCTGGCTGCCGGCGTGCTTGACAAAGGATAGGCTAGGTTTCTGGAACTCGTTGTGCTAACAGAGGGGTAAACAAGTTTTGTTAGTAAAAATAAACTTAAAAAGTACATCTTAATAAAAATAATTGCCCTCCTAATATTCCTTCAACCTATTTGAAGGTTGGGGAGGTGTAACACGGAAGTGCTAAGGAATTGTTTACATGTTATTTGTTGTTTAAAGAACTGCTGGAAAGGCCAGCAAAAACAATCTACACCAACTTAGTCACAAATTCATGATTTTATGTTTCTCACAAATGGTATGAAATGCAATGAATAAATGAGAGTGTGCCTATTATTTTGCATCACCTTTGAGATGGACCAGGGGTTGCTCCACGAAGCTGCTGTAACTGTCTTGTGGGCTATGGGAAAATTAAAGAAGAAACACAATTTGACTTCATTTACAATACAGGGATGATGATGTATAAAATAATGCCACACTGCGTTTCTGACCGCCTCTCTTGGGGTCATGTCCAGAGTTCGGCTCACTCCTCCAGGAATCAAAGTAGGCCTGAAGGACATGGAGCGGTTTCCTGACACTGAGGCTCCAGAAGGAACCACTAGCTTCTGCACCGGTGGAAGAGGCGACTCCATCTGAATTAAAGGGCAATTCAAATTAAAACTAGAAACAGAATAAATAAAAGGTGCCTCTTTGTGTAAATGTGTACCATACAGCTTTTGACTCCACGCTACAGAACTCAATGGGTGTACAAACCATACTAAAATGCAACAGAGAGTCATACCATTGCATTTAGGTATGTACATAACTTCAACACAAAGACAGAGTAGATTAGCATGTGAACAGTAAGAGTCTGCAACTACACAGATGATGTTTGATAGAAGAATAAATTCTTCTTCCAGGAATTTGTTGATAATGAAATAACACCAGCATTATCCTTTAATTCTGGACAACAGCTATAATGATTTTTTGTGACATTAGCTAACCGCAGGTATATTGCTTTATTGTGGCTGTTGTTCAAAACACAACAAAAAATTGCAGACCAGAAATGCTATATGACATTTGAGGTAGTTTACAATTTCACTGTTGGTCAACTACAAAGCACAGACAATTAGAATTTCTAGCTATAAAATGTTCTGCTGTAAAATCTCAAAGATCCAAAAGGATTGAGCTTTAATTTGGATCCTGCCTAGGTAAAACCCCAAAAGTAGCAACCAGTCATGAAAGGCCCACTTGGATAGTGGGCTTTGTTGTTTCAGATCTGTCAACACACCACTGTTGAAGTTTACAAAGCAGCTGTCACAGCTAGAAATGCCTGACAGTTACTATTGAGGACCAGTTCAGTCCAGGCTACACTTAATACAATGAGCGTACACATATTCATGAGCCAAATAAAACAAACAGTCCAGCACACTGTCGCTCACAAGCATGTGCAAAGACATACACGTTTAAAGGTTAACATATGTAGTGCAGACACACACACGCAAGTGGTAACAGCTGTGTCCCAGCTAAGGAGAATCCTGTCAACTACAGTGAAGGAGGCCAACAGGCAGGACAGAAAATGACAGGAATACGAACCACAAGTGCTGCTGGCTTTGTACAATGACATCCCTGTTTCATTCACACCACTAAGCCTTGTATAAAGCTACACACACTCCACTAGAAGACAAGTCAAGTGTGCATACACAAGCTGATAGTCATAGAGGAGCTCATCAATAAAACAGACATTGCAGTTTACTACGCATAAAAGTAATGGCTGATCAATGATGATAATGGAGTACAGTTTTCAAATTCTGCACTTACCCGTTTCTTTTTTGACTGGAAAAGTGAAACATCTAGATTTGTGCCATCCATTGACTGGAAAGGGAAAAAAACCTTTTGTTTCCAGGTGGTTTTGTTATTATTTCAGGATTACAACATTTTACATATTACTTGTCTT